AGGAGTTAGAGAAGCTCCTCAAAAATTTAGGGAGTTAATAGCAATCGGAGTTACATTGTACAAAACTTTACCAATTTAACAGAAATCGGAGTTGTAAAAATTTCCCTACCAATAAAAATCAACTCCAAAAGTAAATTAATCTAATTTATCACGTAGACTGAAAAAATAACTCCTTGGAACTCTCCAAAGAGACCAAAAACGTGACCAAAGAAATTTTCATTTAGAAAACATTTCGAAATTATTGAAAATATTTTAGTAGAAATATTTTTTTCGAATCATTTTCTCAAAGTACTTCTTTTCTTCGGAAGCAAATTTTGTTACTTGCTCAAAAAATTTTCTTTTCTACTTCTTAGGGTATAAAAACGAAATTCTTCTTTATTTGCACAAACATTTTCTTTCGGCAAACAATTTTCAATAACGGAAATAGAAAAAGGCAAGTGCGCATTTTTCTGTAGTCGGATGTAAAAACGAAATCATTTTAAAAAGTTTAAACCAATTATTATATCTTGCAGCATTTCAGCAAATTTTTTTTGTTTTAAGTACAGTATTCTCTTTTTAGCTATATATATATATTTCACGAGAAAGTTCAAATCAGTTGTACGGAAGTTTCACGAGTCACTTGAAACAATTCTGTCATTTATATTTATGCTGGATTGACTCTGATGAGTTTGTATTCCAAAAGATTAATCTAAAAAAATTTTTTTTCTCTCCCAATTTGCACTAAAAGATTACTTTTTCTCAATTGGAATTCATAATCTAGAACAATTATGCAGAGCATGACTTTATTTAATTATGTTTTTCTTTTTTTTTTTTTTTGCATTTCTCACTGAGTAAAATAAATGAACCGTGTTAGATAATAAAAAATGTTAATTAAATGTGTACTTAATGAAAACGCTTTATTTATATAAATTGTATTGTTAATAAAATTTGTTGAAGCAGAGAAAATGTAAATGAATTAATTTTTTTTTTTTATATAATTATTAGTCAATTGCAGTATTATAATGATAAGATATTGTAGATTAGTTTATGTAATGTGTCTCTAAATAAATAAATATTGTTAAAATATGTATTCTCTCGTGTTCTTTATTAAAAAAAAAAAAATTCCAGCGACTTTCAATTTTATTTATTTAGATTTTTCATAATATTATAGATTTAGATTTTCATTTTATTTTCAGATTTTTTGCTTCGGTATAAAAAAGTGTTTTATTTTAAACGAACGAAACAATCGGTTAATAAATAATAGAATAAATAATTTTTATAAATAATAGAATAAATAATTATTATAAATAATTATAACAATAATTTTTACGATAAATTATTAGAGTAACATTTAGATAAATAATTGTTAGAATAATTTTTACGTTAAGCAATTAAGACAATTTTAACGATAAATAATTATTACAATAATTTTGACGATGATTACAATAATTGTTATTAACAATAATTATTGCAATAATTTTGAAAATAAGTAACGTTTATAACGATTTGTATAATAAATAATTACTACAATGATTTTTGTAATAAATAATTAATTTGTTTAAAATTTGAAATTTGATTAAATTTATTTTAATTTGCAAAAATTGTATTATTTATTCTCATAATTGTTTATAGGATTTTTTTCTACTCGTTTAAAATAAAACGATTTTCTTAGAAAAACAATAAAACAATTTTCATTATTTTTATGTCTTACTATTAATAAATAATAAATTAATAATAATTAATAATAATTATTATTATAAAAACAATTTTATTTCTTTTTATTTATTATTGTTATTATTGTCTTTTATTATTAATAAATAATAAATCTAAGTTCTATTTATATTATAGTTATAATAATATTTAAGATTATTAATTAATCTTTAAAATATTTTTAACTTAAATTTATAAAAAAATTTATTTATAAATTATTTGTATAAAACATTTTTCAAATTCAGTTATAGCTTCTTTATTCAATTTTTTTTTTTACTATTTTACTTTTTACATTTTCTCATAAAACAACTGTGCATCTATGGAAATCTACTAACAGGCGTGTGAAACAAAAAAATGTAATAAAAAAGTTGTTGGAAATCCTATCAACTTTAACAACTTTAATTCTAATTTTTTGAAAATTCATTTTAGAAAGTTAAATTAAAAAAATCCTTTTAATTTTTAATTCAATTTTTTAAAATAAAATACTCGCATATTTTTTTATAATTTTAATCAGTTTTAATGTCTGCAAATATTAATTTTTATTAATAATTTAATGGAATGAGAATATTCCATTAATTATTAATAAAAATTAATAACTACCGTTTTAAATTGATATTAAATTCGTTTAGTACTAATTAAAATATTTAAAGGCAATATTCAAGAAATGACATTATTTTATCTTTAGTGCAGTTATGAAGTAATAATGAATTCATGAAAGATGCAATAAAACAAATATATATATTTATTTTTTTTATTAATAGTTATTTAAATTGCATAATTATATGTTTCTTCTGGTCATTGTCTCGTTTAAAAGAAATTAGATACGGTTGGTTAAATGGCAAAAATAACCAACATCCATTGTCTAAGAGACGTTTCAGTGGGAAAGCAGCGAAAGTAGGAAGAAGATTAAAATGCAAAGCAAAATTTGAGAGAACCAAATTTTTTTTTGGGGGGGGACACAAAAAAATTCAGTTTTCTTTAAAAGAAAACTTATCGTTGAAAGACAATTTTTCCGTTTAACAGAAATTTTTCATTGAAAGAAAATATTTCATTTGAAGAAAATGTTTCCTTAAAAGAAAATATTTCTTTAGGAAAAACCTTTCGAAAAATGGTTATTAAAAGGAAAGTTTTCATTAAAAGGAAACTTTTCATTGAAAGGAAATTTTTCGTTAAAAGTGAATTTTTTCTTAAAAGAAAATTTTTCGTTGAAAGGCATCTTTTTGGTTTAAAGAAAATATTCTGTTAAAAAAAATAAATTTCTCTCTTTCTTTTCAAGACAAAATGAAAATTGTTCTTTAATCAACTCTCTGAATTTGATTCAATTAAAATTTTAACTGATTTGGAACAGTAACTGCCCTTTGCTTTTCAATCAATTTCAATTAACTTTTCATTATTATTTTTATTCCTTTTAATAATATTTTTAATATTTATTAATTATTTAACAATAATGTATTTTAATTTAATATATTTTCTCGATTCTCAATTTAATTTGAATTTTTAATTGGTTTTTATTTTTAATTTTGTTCTTATGTTTAAATTTGATGTCCATTTTCAATTTGATTTTTTAAATTTAGTTTCAATTTTCATTTGATTTTTGTTTTTAAATTTAGTTTTAATTTAAAATTTAGTTTTTGCCTAAATTTAGTGGTAATTTTTTATTTCCTTTCATTTTTAAATTTGGTTTCTACTTTCATTTTTTTATTTTTTTTTCCTTAAATAAATAAATATTATGATTATTATTATTATTATTATTATTATTATTATTATTATTATTATTATTATTATTATTATTATTATTATTATTATTATTATTATTATTATTATTATTATTATTATTATTATTATTATTATTATTATTGTTATTATTTTTACTTTTCCTGTTATTATTATTTCTATTTATTTTTACTTAGTTTTATTGAATAAAATTGATTAAGTAAAATAATAATTCATTTATATAAAAATAATTATTATTTATAGTTAATCAATTCTTTCTGCAATTACAGAACAAAAAATTATTTTAACTTTTTTCGTATTCATAGAGTTTTTATACATTCAAATAAACGAAACTTATTCCTTTTTTTTAATTTCATATCTAATTATAAAAATATTGTGTCACATGTATTAGAAAATAATTCATAAATTTTCGAAATTATTCAATTTACGTTTTTAATTTTTCTCGCAGTTAGTAATTTTTGAATAAAAATTTTTATCGACATAATATTTCCTTTTTTTGAACCTACTGAATTTCTAAAGCATTTTTTTTTTTAATATTATACAAAAATGAAATTAATTTATTCTCTTTTTCTATTTTCTTCGCGATTAAAAAATAGTTCCTAGCTAATTGATAACTTTTTTCGATCATAATAAAAATTATTATTTTACTATTAAAATATTAGTTTGTTATTAAAATATTATTTTATTCTTATAACAAAATTATTATTTTTTTATAAAAGTACTATTTTATTATTAAAATATTATTTTTTTATTAAGGGTATTTGAACCATGATGACGTCACAGTTTTAGAAAACATGCTTTTTCCAAAATGTGACGTCATAATGGTTCAAATGCCCTTAAAATATTATTTTCTCATTAAAAAATTATTTTGTTATAAAAATATTATTTTATTCTTAAAACAAAATTATTATTTTGTTATTAAATTAATATTTTATTGTTAAAATATTATTTTAGTCTTAAAATATTATTTCATTACTAAAACAAAATTATTATTCCACTATGAAAGTAATTAAAAAACGAAAATAGTCTTAAATAAAAATAATTCTTCTAAACGACACTAATTAAATAATTTGACCCATTTTATTAGAAATTTAATTTTCCCCCCAAAAAGAAAAAATCATAAATCAAAACTCTTTCATAATTAATACCTTTGCTATTGGTACCGATTATTAGTACAAATTGGTACCCTTTTGATCTCAACGTCTAATTATAATACCACGCGCGCGATGCAAGGAATGATTTTATAAATTCTCTCCTTTTTTTCTCTCGAAAATGTTATGGAATAATCGTATAATTACGATTATTTCTATTCTGTCTGATTATTAAAAAGGAACAAAATTCATTTCTCATTGAGCGTCATGGCGCGCGAGCAGGAACCAAAACCTCATCATATCATGCGGTAGTCATGCAAGAGGTGATTTTATGAAGGCGAAGAAAAAAAAAAGTAAAAAAGGTGGGGTGTCTGGTATTGGCCTGTCGAAGTAAAGCGAAGATTGTATCCGGTCTTGGGTGTCTAGAGCGGATACCTACGCAAAGTTCGTCTCGCGTGCAGGTCCGAGTTTATAAAAATATAGACACGAATGCGCATACAAACATAACCACTACATGTGAATTTTCGCTTTCGAACGTAAGGCGGGAAGCGATCTTAGCGGGGAAAGCAGTGTCCTGGGTATAAAATCAGTTACACCATGGGGGGAATCATCCAGTGAAGTCTGGACTGCGACTTGATTGCAACACATCTTTTATAATGAAAATTTTGGTAAGTTTTACCAAATTTTAGAAAAAAAAGAAAACAAACCCGAAAAAAAGAGACATTTTTTTTTATTTTCTTTACAGATGTATTTTTTTTACAACCCCCCGCCCCCTTCGTGTTATACGAAAAGCGATCGTCGAGAAGATATTTTTCAACCCTTTTTGAAATTTTTCGGATAAAGTATTAGTGAATTTTTTTTAACGTGCGTGAAGTTCGCAAATGTTCGTAATCAAGGACTAAAGGAATCTTTATATTTTTCACTCAAAAAAATAAAATTTTAAAACAAAAAATCTTTATTCAAATATTTCTGTAACAAAAAATCTTTTTTTAATCAAAAAAATACTTTTTTTATTTTTCCAAAAAATTTCATTTTTTAGAAAATGTTTCAAAAAGATTTTTTATTGCTAAATAAAATTTACCAATTTTCAAAACATTTTTTTCAAAAAGTTTCAAAAAAAGATTTCTTATTTGGAAATTTTATTTTTTGGAAAGATTCAAACCAGATTTTTCCTTTAAAAATTTTTTAACTAAAAGTGCTTGATCGGAAAAAGTTTATAAAAAAAGTTTTTCAAACAAAAAATTTACAAACATTTTGCATTGAAAATTATTTCTGTTTCTAATTTACAAATCATGGACGTTGTGAACTTCAGAAAAGTGTTTTTTAGTAAAAAAATTAGTGATGTATTTTAAATTCGGTAAAGTTTTGAAATATTAATTTTTCTTCAATTTTACCTTTTATCTTCGAGTGGAAAAAATGTTGTGCACGGTTTAACATTTTTTTAAATCGGTGGTGAAATTTTTAAAAATTATTTTTCGTCGGTGAAGTTCACAAGTTCACGATCAACGAATGGAAAAAAAATTCTAATTCTCGCAAAGAAAATAATAAATTTGTTTTGAATTTTATAGTAAAGGGTTAAAAACACAAAAAGCGTATTTGGTCAATTTTCTTCTCAAAATTATTTTTAAAAAAACAAATTCTAACAAAAAGGAAATTTTCGTTCAAAATTTTGTTTAAAACATTTTGTATAAAATTAGGTTATAAAATTTTTCCTTTAGAAATATTGCATCAAGAACTTAGTAAACAAAATTTTATTCAAAGTTTATAAAAAATTGGGTTTGAAAAATATTTTTTTTTTCTAAATTATTGATTTTAACTCTAAATCTGAATTAGTAGAAATGTTTACTAATTTGAATTAGTAACTGACTTTTTGCTTTTAAATTAAATTAAAATTTATTAGTAACATTAATTTATTACAATTTTTCAGTAGATTTTACTAATAAATAGAAATTTCTACTAGTTTATTAGTAAAATTTACTAACTCAAAAGCAAAAAGTCATTCACTAATTCGAATTAGTAAACATTTTAACTACTTCAAATTGAGAAAGAAACTTAATTTTAAGTTCAAAATTCGTTCACTTTTCAATTTAGTTGAAATTATCAACTTTGGTTTCTCCTTGCAATTTGGTTTTTATTTTTAAATTTATTTTCAATGCTTACATTTAATTTGGTTTCAATTTTCAATTTCGTTTCAAATTTTAATTTGGTTTTAATTTTTAATTCGGTTTTTTATTTTTTGTCTATATTCAATTTAATTTTTTAAATTTAGTTTCAATTTTAAATTTGGTTTTTATTTAAAAATTTGGTTTGAACTTTCAATTTGTTTTCGTTTCTAAATTTCGTTTTTATGTTTTAATTTGGGTTCAATTTGAAATTTATTATTTGTTTTTAAATTTAGTTTCAATTGTTAATTTAGTTTTTGTTTTTCAATTTAGTTGTAATGCTGAATTTTTTCCCTTTTAAATTTGGTTTTCATGTTTGAATTTGGTTACATTTTTTAATTTGATTTTTTCAATTTAGCTTTAATTTGACATTAATTTTTAATTTTTAATTCGACGTAAATTTATAACCAATAATTTTTGTATTTAAAGCCAAAAGCAAAAATATTTATCACTACTTTCGAGAAAATCTATAAAAAAAAATATTCGTAGCAGAAATTATAGAAAAAATCTCCTTGAAAAGAAAAATTCCCCTGAATTTTTTTTCTCTAAATAGACAAAAATTGTAATGGAATAAAATTTCTAAATTTTTGAAGTGATCGATCAAATTTTGAAACGAAAAAAAATTTCTAAATTTCAAGTAATTAGAAAAAAATCAATTACCATCTCCAGACGTTATTCCTTTAAATTTGATTTTTCAAATTCAGTTTCAATTTTCAATTAAGTTCTTGTTTGTCAATTTAATTTCAATTTTTAATTTGTTTTTAATTTTCAATTCAGTTTTAATGATAAAATTTGATGTCCAAATTAAATTTGATTTTTTAAATTTAGTTACAATTTTATATTCTTTTTCTAAATTTACTGGCAATGATTTATTTCTTTTCATTTTTAAATTTGTTTTTTATCTTTAAATGTGGTTTTAACTTTCAATTTTTTTTTAAATACAGTTTCAATTTTAAATTTGGTTTTAATTTTCAATTTGGTTGTTTTTTCTCAATTCAGTTGCAATTATTAATTTGTATTCTATTTAAATTTGGTTTTTATGTTTAAATTTCATGCCTATCTTCAATTTGATTTTAAATTTAGTTTCAATTTTTTTTTGTTTCAATTTTCATTTGGTATTTGTTTTTAAATTTAGTTTTAATTTTAAATTTGATTTTTACCTGAATGTCAAATGTTTTATTTGTTTTCATTTTTAAATTCATTTTTTATCTTTAAATTTTTTTTATATCTTTCAATTTTTCTTTAAATTTAGTTTCGATTTTAAAATTGATTTCTATTTTTAATTTGGTTATTGTTTCTTAATTTAGCTTAAATTATTAATTCGTACTCATTTTTAAACTTGGATTTTATGTTTAAATTTGATGACTATTCAATTTAATTTTAAATTTAGTTTCAATTTTAAATTTGGTTTCAATTTTCGTTTAGTGTTTGTTTTTAAATTTAGTTTTAAACATAAATTTAATTTCAATTTTAAATTTGATTTTTACCTGAATGGCAAATGTTTTATTTGTTTTCATTTTTAAATTTGTTTTTTTTATCTTCAAATTTGGTTTCAACTTCCAATTTTTTTTTAAAGTTAGTTTCAAATTTTAATTTGATTTTTATTTTCACTTTGTTTGTTATTTTTCAATTTAGTTTAAATTATTAATTCTTATTCATTTTTAAACTAGGTTTTTATGTTCAAATTTTATGTCTATTTGTAATTCGATTTTAAATTTTGGTTAAATTTAAATTTTGGTTTTTATTTTCAATTTGCTTGTTGTTTTTCAATTTAGTTTCAATTATTAATTCGTATTCATTTTTCAATTTAATTTTTATGTTTAAATTTAATTTCCATTTTCCATTGCATTTGAAATTTTGTTTAAATTTTATATTTGGTTTTAATTTGGTTTTTGTTTCCCAATGTAATTGCAATGTTTAATTTGTTTTCATTGTTAAATTTGTTTTTTATGTTTAAAAATTAGGTTTCAATTCTCAATTTGAGTTTTTAAATTTATTTATAATTTTTAATTTAGTAAATTTCAATTTAATTTTTTAAATTAAAAAAAAAATTCTTCGATTTTTCAATTTTTAATTAATTTAAGAAAAATCTATTTCCAGCTCCTGACGCTATTTCTAGGGCTGTTCGCCCTGGCCCTGAGCGAAAAGGAAAGCCCCAAGGAAGCGGAGAAGAAAGTCTCAGTGAACGCTGAAGACGGAAGTAAAAAGCAGGAAAAACGAGGTCTCTACGGTTTGGAGGGCGGTGACGGATACGGAAGTTACTACGGAGGAGGAGGAGGAGGTGGTGGTGGTGGTGACGATTATAGCAGCGGCGGTGGTGGTGGTGGTGACTATGGCGGCAGCCACGGTTGGGAACCAAGTGGCGGCGGACACCAGGAAGATCACGGAAAAATCAAACTAATAACAATCGAAAAAACCGTCAAAGTACCAGTGCCCGTCGAGAAAACAGTCCACGTACCAGTCGAGAAGCACGTGCCCTATCCGGTCAAAGTCCACGTTCCCCAACCCTACCCCATTGAAAAACACATTCCCGTCCCCTACAAAGTTTACGTGAAAGTCCCAGTGCACATTCCCCAACCCTATCCCGTCGAGAAGAAAGTCGGCTATCCCGTCCACGTGCACGTCGAACGTCCCGTGCCCTACAAAGTCTACGTCCCCGCCCCCTATCCCGTCGAGAAGGAAGTTCACTATGCCGTCAAAGTGCCAGTCCCCGCCCCCTTCCCCGTCGAGAAACCAATTCCCTATCCAGTCAAAGTCCCCATCCACGTTCCCCAACCATTCCCCGTCGAGAAAAAGGTCCACTATCCCGTGAAGGTTCCCGTCGAACGTCCCTATCCCGTCCACATCTCGAAACCATATCCGGTTCCGGTAGAAAAGAAAGTTCCCTACATTGTCGAGAAGAAGGTGCCCTATCCAGTGAAGGTACATGTGGAGAAACCGGTACCGTATCCAGTGGATAAACCAGTTCCTGTGAAGGTTAAGGTGCCAGTACCGGCGCCCTATCCAGTGGAGAAGGAGATTCCGGTTAAGGTCTACAAGGAGGTTCCGTATCCGGTTAAGGTACCAGTGGAACGACCAGTGCCGGTTCATGTGACGAAACATGTTCCCGTTCCAGTTCACAAGCCAGTTCCGTACGCGGTTAAAGTGCCGGTACCTGTTCACAGTCATGGGCATCATGAGGATATTGGTTCCAGTTATGAGGGACACTATGAGTCCAGTTTTGGCGGTGGGGGTGGTGGACATTCCGAGCATGACGCTTCTGAATTTGGAAGTTATTGAAGAATTGAGTGACGGTTGCCATTGAGATCGTTTTGAAGGAGGGGAAAAATAGGAAAAACAAGTGTAATACTCGATTTTTTTTTCTTCATGAGAACGTCATGTAAGAATGAAAACTGCCCTGTGATAATTTTGTCAAGGTAAGTGCGGAGGTGATCGTTTCGGGTTTCCTCGTCATTTCGGCTTTTTTTCATTTCTTTTCTGAGAAACGTTCCATCTTTTTCTCCCTTATAAAAAAATTTTCTTTTTGAAAAATAATCTTCTTTGGAAAATAATTTTTTTTTGAAAATAATCTTACGAACAATAATTTTTCTTTAGAAAATAATCTCCTGGAAAACAATCTTGAAAAGAATTATGTTCTTCTTTAAAATAATCTTCCGAAGAATAATTTTCTTTTGCAAAACAATTTTCTTCTGAAAAATAATCTTGCGAAGAATAATTTTCTTTCGCAAAACAATTTTTTTCTGGAAAATAATCTTACAGAGAATAATTTTCTTTTGCATAATAATATTTATTTAGAAAACTATTTTTTTAGGAATAATTTACTTTTGCTAAAAAATATTCAGAAAAATAATTCTTTTCCGCGAAATAATATTCAGAAGAATAATTTTCTTTTGCAAAATAATCTTCTTCAAAAAAATAATATTGTGAAGAAAAATAATCATTCGAAAAATAATCCTACAAAGAATAATTTTCTTTTGCAAAACAATTTTTTTCTTTTTGAAAAAAATTATTTGGAAAAATCATCTTGCGAAGAATGATTTTCATTTGCAAATTAATCTTCTTTTGAAAAATAATCTTGCGAAAAGAAATTTTCATTTGTAAAATAATTCTTCTTTTGGTAAATATTCTTTTGCAAAATATTTTCTTTACAAATATTCTTTTAGAAAATATTCTCCTTGTAAATATTCTTCTGAAAAATCTTCAATTTATGAAAAAAAATTTTCTTTTGAAAAATAATCTAGAAATTGCTTCCCCTTTTTTAAAAAAACAAATATTGAAATAATCCGACAAAAACTGATTTTTTTCAACAAAAAAAAGAGAAAGAAGAGAAGAAAAAAATGAAAAAGAAATGACAAAAGGTAAGAAAAAAAAGAGAAAGCAAAGAAAAAACAATAAAATACAAAAGAAGAAAACAAAGAGAAAACAAAAAAAAAAATGAAACCAAAAGAAAAAACAGAAAGAAAATAAAGAAAGCAAAAAGAAAACAAAAGAAACCAAAAGAAGCACAGTTTTTTGTCTCAATTTGTTACCCTTAAAAAAATTGTGTAACTGAAGAAAAAAAAACCAAAAGAAGAAAATTATTCTCGCGAAAAAATCGCCCCCCAACAGCCCGTGAAGTATTGCTTATTCACTGACGAATTATTTATGCGACTTAATTAAATTAATCGACTTCTTGTTGAATGACAAGTAAACAAGTCTTCCAGTGAATAAACAAAATACTCGAGGGACGAGAAATGTAACCGTTATCGATCACCAATGCACATTTTATGCTGTAGCATATTCAAATTTTAAATGCTCCAAATAAGCAAATAATATGATTTCAAATATTTCCGAATCAATGGTAATCGATTTTTAATATTGTAAGTAGAAATTTTGTAAAATATATTTTTGTACTTAATATTTTTGTAATTATTTTTTTTTTAATTTTTATATCTACTATTATTATTATATTACTATTATTTGCCTAGAGACAAGATTAAATACGAATATGTATATTTAGGATGAATCGCAAATCAAATGTACTGCCAGTATGTCTGCACAAAAAGTTTTTTTGTAGCATCTACTTCGCTCTCCCATTTTTTTGTAATAAAAAAACCAAAGATAAAACTAAGTGGTTTTAAATTCTTACGGTAACCAGACATTTTTCTTTTACAGCCATACTACGAACCAACATTATTTTATAAATAAATAAATAAATAAACAAAGAAATAAGTATATACACACTTGTATTTTTATTTATTTATTTGTTTATTTATTTATAAATGTATATAATGTTTATTTATGTATATTCCTGTAAGTGCTTCGGTAATATCAATCCGGAAAAAGATATATTCTTTCATTGAGATTTAAAGTCTACAGTGAAAGGAGAAAGGTAGTATTTACTATTGTTAGGAAAATAACGGATGCTGTCGCGCTATGACTATGAAAGTGGTTTATATTCGATTACTAATCGGTATTATATATCATATTATTAATTTATACTTTGTGTATACCTGATATGACCGCACGAAAAGAAAACTCTCTTTTAGTTTCTTCAAATTTCGTTTCGTTTGAATAAAAATAGTAAAGTTTTTTAAAAATATGTTTAAATACAAATAGTAATTTTTTTTATTAACAATTTTAATCATTTCTAAAAGAAAAAAAAGATACAGTCGACTCTTGATAATTAGTTTTAAATCTGCAGATACTTTTCTGTATTTCAAACAATTTTCGAGGTTTTACTGCATATTTAAAATTTAACTAGAAATTTCCACTAAATTATTTCGCATTTTTCTTGTCCGAATTATAAAAGTTTCTAAACTCTAAAATAACTATTAATTCAATATATTTAAAAATTAATAACTATAATCATTAATTTAATAAATTTAATAATTAATAAGAATTAATCAATAATTTAATAAATAATAACTATTAATTTAATAATTCATAATTAATTGGGTTGGTTTGGGTTCACGCTGACAACTTTAAAGGTTTTACTGTTATTTTTCAATTTTTAGTTAAATTTGATTAAATTTCTTACTAGGTTGATTCAATTTGATACCAAATTAATCTAATCAGATATTAATTCATTTCCATTCCGAATAAATTTGATTTAATTGCAAATGAATCCCCTTTGGTATCCAATTAATTCAATTTGGTGTCAAATTAATTTAATTTGGTATCGAATTATTTTAATTTGGTATCAAATTATTTCAATTTGGTCCAATTCGTCATCAATTCGATCAAATTTAGTATCAAAATGATCCAATTTGAAATTAATTTGCAATCCATTTGATCGAATTTAGTATCAAATTGATCCAATTTTATTCAATTTTTTATCAATTCGTTGCAATTCAGAATTAGTTTGATTCATTTACATATCAACACGTTTCAATCCCGAATCACTTTGATTCAATTTTATATAAATTCACATGGTATTAAATTAATTCATTTTGATTCATTTCGTAAATAATTTGATAAATTTGATAAAATTTTAATCTAATTCGTTATATTTATTCGTTACATTTCGATATCAGTTGAATTTAATTCGTCATTAATTTGAATCAATTTGGTACCAATTTGTTTCAATCTAATTTCAAATTAATTTTATTTCTTTTAATTTGGTATCAAATTAATTTAATATGATTAAATTTGATTAAATTAGGTATCAAATTTTATCCAGTTTGATATCAATTCGTTTCAATTCTGAATCAATTTGATGCAATTTTATATCAATTCACATTGGTATAAATTTGATACAATTTGAACTAATTTGTTAAAAATTCAATGAAAAATTCAATTTGACATAATTTTAATCTAATTTGATATTAATTCGTTGCATTTTGGTATCACTTTGATTTAGTTAGGTAAAAATTTGATTTAATTTGGTATCAAATTTTATCCAGTTTGATATCAATTCGCTTCAATTTCGAATCAATTTCATGCAATTTTGTATGAATCCACATTAGTATAAAAATAAATTTAATTTGATCTAATTCGTTAATAATTTTATCAAATTTGATCCAGTTTAATAAAATTTTGATCTAATTCGAAATTAATTAATTGCATTTTGATATCAGTTTGATTTAATTTGGTAATATTTTGATTCAATTTGGTACCAATTTGTTTCAATCTAATGTCAAATTAATTTAATTTATTTCAATTTGGTACCAAATTAATTCCATTTGATCTAATTTGTTAATAATTTGATCCAATTTGATAAAATTTTAATCTAATTCGATATTAATTAATTGCATTTTGGTATCAGTTTGATTCAATTAGATAAAAATTTGATTAAAGGTATCAAATTTTATCCAGTTTGATATCAATTCGTTTCAATTCTGAATCAATTAGTTGCAATTTTATATTAATCCACATTGGTATCAATTTGATACAATTTGAACTAATTTGTTAAAAATTCAATGAAAAATTCAATTTGATATAATTTTAATCTAATTCGATATTAATTCGTTGCATTTTGGTATCAGTTTGATTTAGTTAGGTAAAAATTTGATTTAATTTGGTATCAAATTTTATCCAGTTTGATATCAATTCGTTTCAATTTCAAATCAATTTCATGCAATTTTATATGAATCCACATTGGTATCAAATGAATTTAATTTTATCTAATTCGTTAATAATTTTATCAAATTTGATCCAGTTTCATTAAATTTTGATCTCATTCGATATTAATTAATTGCATTATGGCATCAGTTTAATTTAATTTCGTGAAAATTTGATTCAATTTGGTACCAATTTGCTTCAATTTTATGCGAAATTAATTTAATTTATTCCAATTTGGTATCAAATTAATTCCATTTGATTCAATTTGGTAATAATTTGATCTAATTCGATATTAATTTATTGCATTTCGGTAATAGTTTGAATCAATTTGGTAACAAATTAGATTCAATTTGGTATCAACTTAGGTCAAACTGATATCAAACTAATTCAATATAATTCAATTTAATTCACTTTGATCCATTTTGATATAAATTTGTTCCAGTTTGGTATTAACTTCATCGAATTTGATATCAATTTGGTATGAATTCGTTGCAATTCGGTATCTATTTGATATCAATTCGCAGCAATTTGGTTTCAATTTTATTCAATTTGTTTTTCAATTTTTATTCAAAGTGATATCAATTTGTTTACAGTTGGCAATCAATTTGATAGAATTTGTTACGAATTTTGTTCAATTTGATTCTAGAAAATAGTACTAAAATACTATTCTAGAAAATGGTACTAAAATACTATTTTAGAAAATAGTACTGAAACAGTAATAATAATTTTCTTTATAGCTATTTTTTGAGAAAAAAAAAATTTTTTTAAATCGTGTTGCATTTCAACAGTTTGTACTGTAACAGTAATCTATTTTTTTTCTTTAAGTAATTTAATACTGTAAGTAGTATCAAAAAAATGGCAAATAATCACTTCTACTTATAGTAGAAATATTTTCTCATTTCTAAGAGCAGAATCTAATAGAACATCATCTATATTTATATTAACTAAAAAATAATCATTTATATTTAAAACTAAAATATTTAGAAATTGAATAAATATTCACTCACCGAATGTAGGGAATATTGGCCGGTATATGATACTTGGAACCAGGATCAAAATCATTCTCCGAACGTAGAACAGGCGGTTTCACTCCCATATATTGTTCTCTGAGTCGATGCCAATGGCAGTTGAAATTATTACGATATGATGTCCCAGTGAATGTGTCCCATCGCCATTTATCCATTGCAATACTAAATGGCAGAGGTACAATTTTCTCCATTGCCATAGAGAATAGATAATTCAAATCCGCCTCACTGTCATCAATGTATTTATTGGCTAATCCCAATGTTTGCATATGATGCGGTGTCGAGACACTCAAAGCAATAGCCTCACCAATAGCCTCATGAAAACCTGTCAACAAAAACCACAAAATAACATCATTAATATTTTTCTCTCCAATTTCCCGACATTTAATACATTATGCATCACTTTCACTCTAAAGGAAAATCAAGACAACTTTTTTTTTTACTTCCCGCCTGAATCGAAAGTCCTCATTGCCTTTGTAATGAAACTTAAATATATACAGTTTTTAATTACCCATTGCATTATGGTAATTCGAAAAATGTAACAGAAATTTTTATTTTCTTTTTTTTTTTTTGGAAACTATTCGACAAAAACTAAATCTTTTCTTTTCATTCTGTAACAGCTGTCATTGTAATTCAAAAGTAATTTTCACTTTAAATTTTAATAGACACACGGAAAATGAGATTTTTCAAAGTAGGATACGTTTTTTGTAGGTCATTTCTGAACAGATGACGAATAGTAAGAAATGTCCTACATTGTACGTATATAATTCATTCAATATAAAATTTCCCAACAAACGCACAAAAAAAAGGAATAACAGTTTTACAAACTTTCTTTAAAACGAAAAGACGAGAATATTAAATTATAAATCTAATAATAATAATATTTACACGGTAACAAGACCACCGGTATTTTTTTCTACACTTGCAAACTGGGTTTTTATGGAAAAATAAACATAGTATGCAAATGATAATTAATTAAAGAGGGGAAAAAATTTAATCAAGTAATTGCATAAAAGATTCTTTGTATTTGCTGTAAGAAATTATATTGTCAATTTTATGAATTAAATTTATTTTAATTAAATATTAAAATTACATAAATTTATTTAAAATTAAACCAAAATTATTTAATTTGATTCAATTTCAAATTAATTGCAAAACAAAATCAGTTTTAGCAAATTTATTATCCAATTTGTTACAATTGATCCAATTTGATACAATTTGTTATTAATATGAGCTTTAGTAACAACTAAAGCGGTTAATAAATTTTTAAACTAAAAATATTATCAAATTCATGAATTTTAATCAAATTTTTTTACAAATTGATAAACTTTGGTCTCAATTTGGGTCAAATTTCGTATCCATTTGGTATCAGTTTAATTTAATTTTGTTTGAATTTAATTCAATTCGGCAGCAGTTTGATTTAATTCGTTATCAATTTGATTTAATTTTATATCTATATGATATTCATTTGTTGCAATTCGGTATTCTTTTAATTCAACTTAGTTTCAACTTGATTTAATTTGGTATCAATTCTATTTATATTGGTACGAATTCAATTAAATTTTTTTACAATTCAACTCAATTTGGTTTGTTTTGTTATCAATTTAAGCCACTTTGGTATCGATTTATTTCATTATAGTATTAATTTGACTCAATTTGATCAAAATTTTTATCAAATTAATTAAGTGTAACTTTAATTTAATTTAGTACAAATTGAATTCAATTGTATTAGATTTAATTAAATTTGGTAGGAATTGAATTCAATATTGTATTAAATTTAAATCAATTTGGTACGAATTTAATTCAATTGTATTAAATTTAATTCAATTTGGTACGAATTGAATTCAATTGTATTAAATTTAATTCAATTTGGTACGAATTGAATTCCATTGTATTAAATTTAATTTAATTTGGTACGAATTGAATTCAATTCTATTAAATTTAATTAAATTTGTTACGAATTGAATTCAATTGTATTAAATTTAAGCCAATTTGGTACGAATTTAATTCAATTCTATTAAATTTAATTCAATTTGGTACGAATTGAATTCAATTGTATTAAATTTAATTCAATTTGGTACGAATTTAATTCAATTGTATTAAATTTAATTTAATTTGGTACAAATTGATTGAAATGTAATTCAATTTAATTCAATTTGGTACAAATTGAATTCAATTGTATTAGATTTAATTAAATTTGGTAGGAATTGAATTCAATATTGTATTAAATTTAAATCAATTTGGTACGAATTTAATTCAATGGTATTAAATTTAATTCAATTTGGTACGAATTGAATTCAATTGTATTAAATTTAATTCAATTTGGTACGAATTGAATTCCATTGTATTAAATTTAATTTAATTTGGTACGAATTGAATTCAATTCTATTAAATTTAATTAAATTTGTTACGAATGGAATTCAATTGTATTAAATTTAAGCCAAATTGGTACGAATTTAATTCAATTCTATTAAATTTAATTCAATTTGGTACGAATTGAATTCAATTGTATTAAATTTAAGCCAATTTGGTACGAATTTAATTCAATTGTATTAAATTTAATTCAATTTGGTACGAATTGAATTTAATTGTATTAAAGTTAAGCCAATTTGGTACGAATTGAATTCAATTCTATTAAATTTAATTCAATTTGGTATCGACTTGATACAATTTGATATTAATTTGATCCAGTTCGGTATTAATTCGTTGCAAGTTGGTATCAAAATGATTAAATATGGTATCAGTTAAATTCAATTTACAACCAATTTAATTTAATTTGGTACCAGATTAATTCAGTTTGATATTATTTAATTTTAATTCCTTAAGAATTTATTAAATTTGATTCATTTTCTTAAAATTGATTAAATTTAATAACAAATTTGTATTAATTTGTTGCAATTCGGAATTTTTTTATTCTACTTAGTATCAAGTAGATTTAATTTGGTATCAATTTCATTCATTTTGGTACCAATTCAGTTCAATTTGATTCATTTTATTATCAATTTTATTCACTTTGGTATCGATTTGTTCCATTGTGGTAACAATTTGACTTAATGTAATCAAATTTGATATAAAATTAATTTGTTGCAATTTGTTAACAATTTGATCTACTTTGATATTAATTTGTTATTTCATATTGTGATTCAATTTTATTTAATTCAACATGAATTTGTTTCAATTTGCTATCAATTTAGTGATAATTTAATTCAATTATTATTTCAATTATTATTCAATTCAATTCAATTCAAGTATCAGATTGTCATTAAACTAAAATAATCACCCAATAAATTTTTTTTGTATTTTCTTAAAGAAATTATACTACATATTGAAAAATATTACGTTTTAATTTCAAATTAAATTTAATCCAATCAAAAAAATCAAAATAATTGTATAAATAATTCTTTTCTATTCGCTCCAAAAAATTATATTCTAATTAAAGAGAGGAAAAGAAATTCAAATAAAAATAATTACGTAGAACATTCTTTTGTATTCGCCTCAAGAATCGGAAAAATAAGGAGAAACTTGAAATCTCGTAAAGAATTTAGCCTAGTGAAAAAAAGAGTTGGGCGTTGCGCGTTCAGTATAAAAGGAAAAAAAAATGTTTCACGAGTTAAGAATTAGGAATTTTAAAATGAGGAAAAATTGTCTACTCGTTCGTCTTGTTTTGTAGAGCCAAGGCCATTGAAGGTATCACACTCCAAGAACCAGTTGGTACAAGTTTTGATATTTGAATCTGTTCCGGATTATGAGGCGAACGACCGTGCCCAACGGTGAAAGTGTAATTGCAGCGTAATAAAAATATTTTATCGTCCTTATACACTTGTTGAGTGAAACAACAAGAACAACAACAACAGCAACCATATAAATCCGGGCGTTGATTGCCCAGAATTGACAGGGTCCGTGCCAACTATTTATGAATCTAGTTCGATTGCGGATAGACAGTCAGCATTCGCTTTCATGCCATTATAAATGTATATAAAAAAAGAGTTAACGCGCTTCCTTCCGCTTTTGTATATATATATATAAACTTTATTACTAAGAGAGTAACGCATTGGGTTTACATACCGCAACAATTCTTATGTAAGAAGAAAACAAAGCGTGATTTTGATACGCATCAGAGAATCGATATCGTATGACTGTATCTTGATTCTGAGAAAGAAGTTTCTTTTACCGCAAAATTTCAATGACCTTGTGGAGGTAACGGTTATTTTTCAGAGAAATAAATAAATAAATAAATAAATAAATAAATAAATTATTAATAAACATTAACTAATTATTGAAAAGTTAATTTAAAAAATAAATTAAAAAAAAGTGATTCGATTTGTTAATTCATTAATTGGTAGATACTAATTACTAATTGTAAGTGGAGAAACAATAACAAGCTTCGATTTTATATAATGAACCATATTTTAGCCGAGGATTTTATTTAGTTTCGTTCGATTTGAATTTTTAGGATTATTATGACAATTAATCACACTATTAATAATTAATGTTAATAATATCTTTCTGAATAATATTTAAATAATTATTAATAATAAAGTAAATAAAAGAAATTTTACTTTTTAGTCAAAAATTATTTTTTCCATAATTTTTGAACAAATTTTTCTTTCGTACATTTTAAATTAAATAACGAACCAGTAAAAATTCGCGCGGCTTACTTCTTCATGCCTTTTTTATATAAAATTAGCAATTTTAAAAATAATAGAATTTAAAAATTTTCTAATTTAAATTTTTTTTAAAAACACTAAAAAAATTCAATTTTGGAGAAATTACAAATAATTGCAGAAATTCAATTATTTTCAAAACAAAATAAAATTCTTCTGATAAAATTCAACTGTGTTTAAAATTTGAAAAAAATTCTCGTAAAAATCCCACTTATCTTTATAAATAACAAAATTCTTCTCCAAAGTTCAATTATTTTCATCAATTTCAAAAAAAAATTCTTGTCCTAATTTCAATTATTTTCAAAAATTTTTCTAATTTCAATTATTTTCAATATGTACTATTTTAATGAAATTTCCCAAAAAGAATTCATTTATTTAAAAAAAATTTTAAATAAAATTGTATGCAAACATTTTATTATTTTCATAAATAATAAAAATTTCACAGGAATTCAATTATTTTCATTAATAATATATTTTTTTTAAGGAATTCAATTATTTTCATAAAAAATAATTTGAAAATTCTAGAAAATAATAATTGAATTAAAATGATGAAAATCCTGTTCCAAAAATAAGATTAAAAATAGAAATTGTGCAAATATTTTTCTTCTTTTTCAAAAACAAAATAAATAATTTTGTTTAAAAAATTGTAATTCATAAACAAAAATAATGCAAAATAAATAAATTTTCTATTTCTTAATCACAGTTGTTTAACAATTTTCTAATTTTTCTGAGAAGTAAAGAACAATATCTGCATAATATTTCAATTTGACAAAACATAATATTTAACAAAATTTTAGTCTTTTAATGAAAAGAAGTGAAAAAAATTCTGATGATTTCTATTTGACATTACAATTTTGAATTAATTATAAAATAAAACCTAACATAATGAAAGAACAATCAAATTATTACAGTTAATAATAAGCATTTATTTTAAAAAATTACGAATTTAAATAGTTATTCAACAAAAATTAATAATTTAATAATTTTTAAAAATAAATATTTGAATATTATAACAGTTTTATATTAATTAAAATTTTCAAAGACTTCAATTTAAAAATCTTGAATAATTTAATTATTTCTAAAAATTCACACAATCAAGCTTCTAATATTCAATGATTATTTATAACTAGCCAAACTATCCGCGCGCAAGCGCGCGGGAATGTTTTATGGGGCTGCTTATTTTAAACAATTTAAAAAATTTTAAAGAAATTAACATCAGATTTTCTACATTCAAAAAAAACGAATTCAAATAGAAATTAAACATTTTACAACTAAACCAAATTAACCCCAGAAATCACTGAATTCGATAATTTAGAAGAAAGTCAGACAAAAGCAGGGTTCCTACAGAATCTGGAGATCAGGGAAATCATGGAAATGGTATGGAATTTTTAAAAGTTTCTAAATTTTTTCAGTTTTCCATTTTGTCTCTTGAATAAAAATTCAAATAATAATGAAGCTAAATCCTATAAAAGAGAAGAAAGAATGTTGAATTTTAAGAAAAACAGATTTTTGAAATTTTTCGAATTTTTGATAATTTTAGATTTTTTACCAAAGAGTCCAGACTATTATATAAGTAAAGTATTTTCCAAAAGCACAAAAAATAATGAAGCTAAATCCCATAAAAGAGAGGAAAAAATGTTGAATTTTAAGAAAAACGGATTTTTGAAATTTTTCGAATTTTTGATAATTTTAGATTTTTTACCAAAGAGTCCAGACTATTATATAAGTAAAGTATTTTCCAAAAGCACAAAAATAATGAAGCTAAATCCCATAAAAGAGAAGAAAAAATGTTAAATTTTAAGAAATTCGGATTTTTGAATTTCTTCGAATTTTTGATAATTTTAGATTTTTTACCAAAGAGTCGAGACTATTAAATAACTAAAGTATTTTCCAAAAGCACAAAAATAATGAAAGTAAATCCTATAAAAGAGAGAAAAAAATGTTGAATTTTAAGAAAATCGGATTTTTGAATTTTTTCGAATTTTTGATAATTTTAGATTTTTTACCAAAGAGTCCAGACTATTATATAAGTAAAGTATTTTCCCAAAAGCACAAAAATAATGAAGTTAAATCCCATAAAAGAGAGGAAAAAATGTTGAATTTTAAGAAAAACGGATTTTTGAATTTTTTCGAATTTTTGATAATTTTAGATTTTTTACCAAAGAGTCGAGACAATTTAATAACTAAAGTATTTTCCAAAAGCACAAAAATAATAAAGCTAAATCTTATAAAAGAGAGAAAAAAATGTTGAATTTTAAGAAAATCGGATTTTTGAATTTTTTCGAATTTTTGATAATTTTAGATTTTTTACCAAAGAGTCGAGACTATTAAATAAGTAAAGTATTTTCCAAAAGCACAAAAATAATGAAAGTAAATCCTATAAAAGAGAGAAAAAAATGTTGAATTTTAAGAAAATCGGATTTTTGAATTTTTTCGAATTTTTGATAATTTTAGATTTTTTACCAAAGAGTCCAGACTATTATATAAGTAAAGTATTTTCCAAAAGCACAAAAATAATGAAGTTAAATCCCATAAAAGAGAGGAAAAAATGTTGAATTTTAAGAAAAACGGATTTTTGAATTTTTTCGAATTTTTGATAATTTTAGATTTTTTACCAAAGAGTCGAGACAATTTAATAACTAAAGTATTTTCCAAAAGCACAAAAATAATAAAGCTAAATCTTATAAAAGAGAGAAAAAAATGTTGAATTTTAAGAAAATCGGATTTTTGAATTTTTGATAATTTTCGATAATTTTAGATTTTTTACCAAAGAGTCGTGACTATTAAATAAGTAAAGTATTTTCCAAAAGCACAAAAATAATGAAGCTTAATGCCATAAGAAAGAAGGAAAAATGTTGAATTTTAAAAAATTCGGATTTTTGAATTTTTGATAATTTTCGATAATTTTAGATTTTTTACCAAAGAGTCGAGACAATTTAATAAGTAAAGTATTTTCCACATTAGAAAGTTTGACATTAAAAAATATATAAAAAATGCTAATACTTAACCCACAAAATTTAATTTTCAAAACAAACAAATGAATGCAAATAATTTGCTAACGAAAAGGAAAGTTACGATTATTATAATGTATTGATATTGATATTGATTTCTTTCGGAGAATTTTAAAAACCAAATTTTTTAAAATTATTAATTCATTTAAAAAAATTTAATGAAAATTGTATTTAAAATACTTGAAAGTCAGTAAAAATTCTATTTTTTATGAAAATAATTGAATTTTCAGAAAGAATTTTATTAAAATTTTCTTGAATTATTGATTTTTTTTTTGAAATTTTATTAAAATAGTAGAAATTGAAAATAATTGAATTCTTTGGAGAGAGTTAATTTAAATTGTATTGAAAGTTATTGAATTTCATTACGAATTTTTCAATTTTATCAAAATTGTTGAAATTAAAAATAATTGAATTCTTGGGAAAAGTTTTCTTAAAATTTTTGAAAATAATTAAATTGCTTTAAAGAATTTTATTATAATTTTCTAAATTGTTTCAAAGAATTCTATTTAAATTTTTGACAATAATTTTCTATAACAATTATTAGCGGATTTAAGTTAATGGAAATTCTCAAAAAAAAGTCGCTTTTCATTATTTACTTCTTGGGCCAAGTTCTAATATTTAAAATATATTTTCTACTATATCAAATCTTGGGCCAATATTGGCCATAAAAGTTCCTCCCCTAACGCAAAGCGAATTATTTATCAAAAGAAAAATCTACCTTAAAAAAAAGCTTCAAAGAAAAATCATCTTAAAAGAAAAATCTTCTTAAAAGAAAAAAAATAGCCTCTCTTTTTCTTTCTCCCAGCAGAATTATATTTTCGCGGTGAATTTTTAACCAACCGGAAATTAAGATTTAAAACTTTTGCGTCTAGAATTTTTCATGGATTGTTGATAATTGAGAGCAATTCAAAGTTCCTTGACGCAATATTCTTCTTTTTCCTTTTTCTTTCTTTCTATTCTTTTTTTTTTTTTGTAAGAATGTTTCTTTTTTTTACGCGTTATGCAAGTTTTGTATACCGAAGAAAGTTGCAACTTTATGAAGATAATAATGATCGATGAAGACACTATAAGGCATGGTTACATAATTCAAAGTAGGAAGTTTTATTCGCTCACCTGGATTCGCTCCGTCACGGAACTCACGAGGAAGATGACTGTAGCGTAGAAAGTACTGAATATGGGCCATCTCATGGTGTATCGTAATCAAATCCTTCATTGTGACCTTAGTACACATCTTGATTCTGTAAATGAAACCAATTGTTTAGAATTTTTAATAACACTATTCTCTAATGAAACCAATTGTTTAGAATTTTTAATACTTATTCATTCATAAAACAAATTATTTAGAATTTAAATAAATGTCCATTAATAAAACCAATTGTTCAGCATTTTTAATAATTATTCATTAATAAAAACAATTATTTATCATTTTTTTTAATAAATATTATTATTCAAATATTTTTGTTATTCTTTATTTTATTTATTCAAAATCTAACTAAATATTAATTAGTCACATAGAAACGTATAAAGAAACGTAATTTTATTAATTTAAAAAAGCTAATTAGTCATTATTTATTACGGGTTCTTTTTGAAATATTTTTACAGAGATAAAAATTATTTTATAAGTTATATAATTATAATTAATTACTTTAAGATTATTATTTCTACTAGCATTAATTATTTCTATTATTATTTATTAGAATTTTTGTTATTCATTATTTTTGTTATTACTAATTAGTTTTATTATTTTTATTATTAATTAGTCCTATTATCATTATCTTTGTTCTTTTGAATATTAATTAATCTGATTATTATCATCTTTATTATTTTGATTAATAATTAGTTCGATTATTATTTTTGTTCTTCTGATTACTAATTAGTCAGATTATTTTTATGTTTATTATTTTGATTATTAATTAGTCATATTATTATTATTTTTGTACAATTGATTATTAATTAGTCCGATTATTATTTAATTCTATTCAATGAATTAATGGCTAATTAATAATTCATAGTTTTATAAATCAATCAAATATTAATTAATATTTTAATTACTGATTTGATTCGGTTTGAGAATAATCTTCTCTAATATTCGAATAGTGAATTAGAGAAAATAATTTTCACTTTTTTAATTACCTGTAATCAATTCGATTGCAGAAGTCCCAGGCGGAGGCTTGACAAATAATTGACCTGTCACCAGGATCGACCAGAATACTTCCGGACCAGAATTCTGGTGGCATTGCACTCATATTCATGGAGAGGAAGAAATCCTCTCCAATTCTGAACATATCAATGGGCGTGTATCCCTGGAAGAAGGACAAAAATTTATATTAGTAAATAAAAATTCTCCTGTTGATTTCAATTTTAAAATATTTCAGTTTTTTTATTTCTTTTATTTGTAATATAAAATTTTTAAATATAAAAATTCAAAGAATAAATAGAAAAGTAAAAGCAAAAATAAAAAAATAAAATAGAAACAAGAAAGGAAAAGGAAATTAAAAAGCAGACAAGAAACAATACACAAAAAAGAGAAATTGAAACGAAAAAAAATAAAACAGCAAAAAAAGAAATTAAAAAAACAGTAAAATTAAAGAAAAAAAAAATAAAATGGAAAATTAAAATAATTAAAATTTACTCACTCTGGCAAGCATTTCCGGTGTGGCGTCCAAATAACTTTTTCCAGGATATGGCATGGTTAGATCAACGATATTCGACCAGGATTGACCCCACATGTTACCTAAAAATTGTTAATTAACATCATTTTACACTTTTTTTGCTTTAAATACATTTATTTTCTCTCTAACTACTTATGCAATAATCAAATTAATTATTTGATACATTATAAATAATTATTATTAATTATTATAGAAACGTATTACGTAACACATATTAGTACTTAATTATTACAGAACTATAATTCTCTACTTTGAATAATCTTCCATTTTTCTAAATTACAGTCAATTTTTTTTCTATTTTCAATAATTTTTGTTGTTTAAAATAGAAAAAAGTTATTTTTAATTTATGTTAATTTCTCTACTTCCGAAATCAATACCAATTTCGCCAAATGAAGTTCGGTTTGCAATGTGCGTTAAAACTTTCATTTCAAGTGGCAGTAAAATTCTAATTTCTTGTTTACATAATAAACGTTCGCAATCAATAGAAAAGCGAATTTTTTTATTTATTTAAACATTAAATTTAATAATTTAATTTTAATCGTAACTTTAGTTTTATTTTTAATGTTGATTTAATTTTGGTCTCGATAAAATTTTAATTCTAATTTCATTTGAATTTTAGTTTAATTTTAGTTTCAATTTCAAATTCGATTTAATTTTAATTTTGATTTAATTTCAATTTTGGTTTAATTTCAATTTTGATTTAATTTTAATTTTGGCTTAAATTTAATTTTCATTTAATTTTAATTTGGATTTAATTCTAATTTCGATTTAATTTGAATTTAATTTTAATTTCGATTTAATTTTGGTTTATTTTTAATTTTGACTTAATTTTAATTTTGACTTAAATTTAATTTTGACATAAACTAAAATTACCGAGAATGTGAGATGGTAGGGGTGCGTGACCACTGATTTTTTCTGGTCCATAAAGATCACGTAGTTTTCTCCTAATGTAAGCGTGTAATTCTTCATAAAGAGGACTAATGCTTTCCCACACTTGATCAATTTCCTGATCAAATTTAAACGTCTCGTATGGGAACATCCATAATTCAGCGGCATTCGTAAAATCTTTAATGAACAATCATTATAATAAATCTACTTTTAGAAAGAAGAAAAAAGAACCATAATATCATTTCTTACAATCTATCGCAATTTTAATGAACACAATCTTTTTTTCCCAACAAGCAATAAACGTCAATTTTACTATGTCAATAAGAATGCATCACCAGTTGGGGAAAAAAATTAAAATAAGAAGATAATCTTTTAGAAATTTGCACTAAATTTATATTTTTAGCTTCTTATTTTCCTTTCCTGTGCGTTTCACTTTTTAAGATTATGTGAATTTCAAGAATTTAAAAAGAATAAATAGAAGATAAAAACAATTTTCCAAGTTTTGAACGAAATATTTTTTTCTGCTTCAATATTTTTAATAATTTCTAGACTAAAATGAAGAATTTTAACTGAAGATTTTAACTGATCATTTATATTAACAATATATAAAACAATAAATTTTCAAAATATGAAAAACAATATTTTATGAATAAAATTCAAATTAGAATGTTAAAAAATAAATCGAATTTTGCTAATTAATTTATTTATTAATTTATTATTTAATTTCTAATTTATAAAAAATTTAGAACTATTTTGTTTGTAAAAATATAGAATTGAAAAAAATTTACATTTAAAAATAAAAATAACAATAAATTTGGGATGTAAAAAAAATGTAAAGCAGGAAACGATAAAAATGAAAAGTAAAGGAAAACGAAAAGAATTTTTCTACATTGTTTTAAAGAAGCAAACTTTATTTCAGAATGCACATAGAATTGACTTTTAATAAGTTCAATTAATGAAGATATTATTTTGCCTTCCGGTTACTTTCACGTAAGAAAAGTAACTTGCATTATGGCTTCTTCAATTAAATGTAAATTAATTCGTTTTCCTTTACTTTTGCGAATGCCTTCTTTCATTGTTAATTTTATCTCTATTATTCAGATCATTTAATCTTCAACTCCAGACAATTTGCAATTACTGAATTTAAAAAAAAAATCCCAAGAAAAATTTCAAATAAAAATGCAAAAATAAATAAAAAAAAAAATTCAATCAGAAATCTAAACAAAAGTGCAAAAGAAAATAATAAAAAAATATTTTTAAAAAATTCAAGTAAAAATAAAAATTCGAAAGAAAATAAATAAATTAATAAAAATAAAGTAATAAAATTAATAAAAATAAAAATTTTGTTTAGTGTTAATTAAAATGTAATTAATATTGCTTACTGTTTAATTGCGCAGCATCATTGTTCAGTTGGACCAATTGCTGATAAAGATCCTTCATTTTTACTCCACTACGTCTCCTCCATTCGAGCCACACGTATTGCAGTTCGTCCCAATTACGACTTTTGGCCATAATATGTGATATTTCTGTAAACAAAAATTGAATTAAAATTTTGCATAATTTTTTAACGATAATTAATTATGTAATTATGCATAATAATATATAATACATTTATAATTTTCTGGCAACAGATAATTAATTATCTATATTATTAAAATAACGAAATAAAATAATTACAGTAATAAAATTTACAAAAAAATTATTACAGAAAAATTTATAATAAACAAAATAATTGTATAAAAATAAATAATAAATAATACAAAAAATAGTTAATAATTTTTGACGAAAGAATTTTTATAGTTTTCTGCTAAAAATAATTAACTAATATTTCCTGAAATTTACATCTAAAAAATATTTTTATTTAGACTGTTAGAAAATTTTTTTTAATACTTGAAAAAAATTAATTAATTAATTAATTAATAGAAAGAAGAATTTTAAACTTGAAAATAAATTCGACCCTAAATCGTAGGAAATGCATTTTAAAAAATAAATCATCTTGAAAATTAATACCCGCACAAAATAATTTACTCAAAAATAAAAGATCTAAAAAAATGGTAATGAGCCTATAAAATACTATTTATGTAACTGTCATTTAGTCACTTTATATACATAGTTATAGAAAAATGAATGCAATTATCGGAAATTGGAAAAAAAAGAAAACATAGTATATATATATGCCTTATAGATTTCCGGTAATCGGATTAGTAACGTGTCTGGCATAAATATAAGTGTCGGAAATCAGGTTCCCGTTTCACGATGATTAATCTTAACACACGATTTTCTTTCTTCCCTGCGCTCATATTGCGAAGTGAACACTAAGAGCATTTATGAACATTTTACTTCCTTATCGTTGGGACACAATGTATACTATTTGCGAGATATCTTACGTTACTAGATTTTCTTCCTCCTCTCATTTTCATAAACAATCGATTACACCTCTTTCGTCAAAATTACATAAATTACTTCATATCTCAAATTACATATGCAAGTTTTGTTTCGCAATTTTTATTTATTTATTTTTTTTTGTCTAAAAGAAAATCGTTTCAAAAATTGCTAAATAAAATGGGAAACAATGAAAGAACTAAAATTTTTCAATCGTTAAAAAAGTTTTTTTAAATTGTTAAAGTTTTTAAAATTTTCTAAAATAAAATTTACTGTTTCTAACCATAAAATTACTATTTTTAATTTTTTAACTAAAGTTACAATTTCTAATTAATTACTATTTATAACTACAATTACTATTTACAATTAATTACTAGGTATTTTTGACTAAAAATACTATTTTTAATTAATTACTAGATTTCTAACTAAAATTACTATATTTCGTTAATTACTATCTTTTACTAAAATTACTATTTAAAAAAAATTAATATTTTTTATTAATCACTATTCATAACTAAAATATTTAATTAATTACTAATTTTAACTAAAATTACTATTTACAATTAATTACTGTTTTTAAATAAAGTTAATATTTTGAATTAATTACTATTTATAACTAAAATTTTTAAATAATTACTAATATTAACTAAAATTATTATTTATAATTATAATTACTATTTTTAACTAAAGTTACTATTTTAAACTATAATTTTATTTTTAATTAATTACTATTTTTAACTAAAATGACTTGTCTCTAAATTTCAATTAGTAAAAAGTAGTCCACTAATTAAAATTAGTAAAAATTTCTTCTGATTCTTAAAATTAAGAAATAATCAGTAAAATTTTGTTTATTAATTTAGTAGTTTTAAATTTATTTACTAAAGTTTTAGTGGAAAATTAGTAAATAGTAGTGAAAATTTTTACTCATTAAAATTAGTGGACGACTTTTTCACTAAATTCAGATTTAGAGAGTGTCTTTAATTGTAAATACTATTTGTAACTAAAAAAAAAATTTCTTGCGAATTAAAAACAAAATTAATTGAATTATTTTAATTTCTAAAATTACCCACATTATTCAATTTACCATTTACAATTTATTTCCATTACCAAATAATTCAATTCTCTGAAAATTAATCCCCTAATAAAAAAAAATTCACCAAATAATTTTATGTAAAATAATAAAATTCTATTGCGAAAGGAAAAAAAGCCATTTTCTTTGAATTTATTCCACTACTGCAGTAATTTCCTCCTTCTTCAATAATAATTCCAAGCAAATTTTTTAATGAGAAAAAAAATTATTAAAAATTATTAAAGAGTTGAAAAATTAATTAAATGTCTTCTCTACTTTTTTTCTATGTCTAAATTTTTATATTTTACTTTCCAATAGTCACGGATCAGTATTTTACGTAAACTACCCGGATCATTGATTTTTATAATTCTTTTCTCAATTTTTCGTAATGAGAAAGTCCGATTTAAAAATTAGTCGAATTTTCGTTTATAATTCTCAAAAGAAAAAAGAAATTAAATAATAAAATTTATTAAAAAAAATTATTGAAGAAAAAGTAAAGGATAACAAAATTTTTTTGTCATTGATTTTTGATAGAAAATATTTTAATCAGTTTACCTGGATATAGCCGTAATCCACAATGGAATGGGTCGTTGTAAGCGCATATTGATGCACTGTTGTAAATTAGTAACATATCGTTCAAAACTCGTTTGTACTGTAAAAAAAATTGAACATCAAGTGTTAATTTAATTAAATATGTAATGCTTGTAAATTATAAATAATAATTACTATTATAATAGAAATTAAAATTACTAAAAAATTATAGTTGTTCATTTGAAAGTTGAATTTTTCTATGGAAATATTTATATTATTAATAAATAAAATAATGTATTATTTAAACTTTTACTCACTCGATCCGATTGATCTGGTGTAAAAGCACCATGTCCAACAACAGATAAGTACCTGAGACGTCTCTCAATTGCCGGATCACGAATATTTCGTCGATCTATTCTGTTTATTAAATGCCACGCTTGATATTGAAAATCCTCATACAAGTGTTGAGCTTCCAACTAAAATAAAAATTTATTCATTAATTAATTAATTCATGAAATTATCCATTTTTATAATTTTTAAAAATTTTTTCACTTTTATAGTTCAAATACAAAAAACAGGAATAAAAAATAATTTGTTTATTTTTAATTTCTATTATTCGTCTTTAAATAAAATGCAATAATAAAATACATAAAATACAACAATAAATTTTTTAATTTATAAAAGTAAAAATATAATAAATAAGTTATAAAAGATAATAAAAAAACAAAATTTAATAACAAATTAAAATACAACAATAAAATTTTTAATTTATACAATTAAAAATATATAAATAAATACATAATTAAAAAAAATACAAAAAATAAAAAATCGAAACGAAATAAAATAAAAAAATAAAATACAACAATAAAATTCAAAATTTATACAAGTAGAAATATATAAATTATAAATTAAAAAATCAAAACGAGAAAAAATGCATAAAATATAAAATAAAAATTACAAAAAGAAACGTGCATGTATTTCAAAATACGCTTCTTTTTACGCATCACTTGGTTATATAATCTGCGTCATTTTGTAATAAACAGGTTACAAGTTGCCGTCGTTCATTTCATGGAAAAAAGAAAAAAAAATTGCGACTAAAAGAAAGGTTCACCGTTAAACAGATAAAGATAAGGGAATTTTTATCATTTGCCAGTTGGAATTCATTATAAGAGAAACTCGAGAAATTAGATCATGTAATACTCAATTTGTCTCTAAAATTTCAACAAGTAAAATAAAAATCTTATCATAAATTTTTAATCATTAAAAAACGTTCAATTTCTCAAAAGAAAAACAAATAAATAAAAAATTTATTCTGTCAGTAAGATTTTAAAATGTGTACAAAAAAGGAATTTTTTTCTTGTTCAGGAAAACTTTCATTTTTAAAATACAAAAGGTTATAAAAAATGAGAAAATAAATAATTAAATAAATATTTAAACAAGTAAATAGGTAAACAAATATTTATTTCCTCATTTTTTTAACTTTTTGTATTTTAAAAATGAAAGTTTTCCTGAACAAGAAAAAAATTCCTTTTTTGTACACATGTAATATTCATTTCATTTATTTGTTTGTTTACTTATTTAATTGTTGAATAAGAAAAAAATTAAATAAAATTGCAAAGTGAATTCATTTTGCAAAAAATAAGAAAAAAAGTAAATAAACAAATATATAAACAAAAAATGGAAAAGAAAATAAGTAAACAATATTGAACATATAAATAAATAACGAAATAAATAAAAAAATAAATAAATTAGCAGATGAATAAACAAGTAAAATAGTAAACAACTAGTAAATAAACAAATAAATAAACAAAAGAGAATTAAATAAGTGAACAAACAAATTACTAAATCGTAAAATAAATAAATAAATACTTAAACAAGTAAATAAATTAATCATAAACAAACAAAAATTAATAAACAAATAAAGAAATAAGTATGCAAATTAAAAACAAATAAGTTTAAACAAATGATAAAAGAAATTAATGTATAAACAAAAAATAAATAAACAACGAAACAAATAAATTAAATAAATAAAAAAGTAAATGTATAAACAAATTAGCAAACAAAAAAATAAACATGAACAAATGAATTAATAAACAAATGATAAAAAAATAAATATATTAACAAATAAATAAACAAATAAATAAACAAGTAAATAGAAAAATTAATTAATATTAAAAAATAAAAATATTCAACAAATAAAAAGTAAAAAATTTCTAATTTAAATTCATACACGACAAGTAATTAAAAATCTTGATACTTGAAAAAAATGCTACTCGAGGAAAATTGTAATTATAAAAAATTGTAAATCTGAAATAATGAAATATAAAGGTACCTATGAAATTAAAAATATCTAACGTATCATTAAAAAAAAATTATCACTCATTTAGGAAAAATGATAATTTAGAAGCAGTGAAAAGCGACAAGAAAATATTTTTTTTTTTTTTTAGTGAACCTGCCATGTCGACGGATGCCTAATATGCAGCAGCACCATGTTACTCAATATTATATTATCGCGATCACAATAGATTGGCATGGGAATATTTTCCCGTAAAAGTTGTGTACAGTTTGCCTTTCGCGGACAAGAAAAAGTGGCTGCGTGGCTCTCTTCTCGCGTGTTAAAGAAAAAATTTTAAGGTCCCTTTGACAATTGACGTGTGCTTTGCGCGCGAACCAAAACAAAAGAGAATAGAGGTCGAGGTCATCAGCAGCAACGTCGTTTTGCCATCATTTTTCACGAGGTTAAATTAACATGGGAAAAGTGTTGAAGAAAAAGAAAAAAAATTAGCAATAGTTCTGTAATCTTGTTAGACGAACACTAAACAATCGAGTAACTTATATTTCCTAAAAGGAATAGAATCCATCTCATTGTATAAATATTTGTCTGTTTGTTTATTTATTTATATGTTTAATTATTTATTTAAATAATAGAATAATTTATTAAAAACAATTTGTTTATTTAAATAATAACTGCCCTTTCGTACACAGTACTTATAATTTTTTATTTATTTGTTAATTTATTTGTTGAAGTAATAAAATTATTTATTAAAAATAATTTATTTATTTAAGTAATACAATTATTCATTAAAAATTAATTATTTATTTAAGTAATAAAATTATTCATTAAAAATAATTTATTGATTCAATTAATAAATATCCTTTCGTATACAGTACTTTTATTATTTATTTGTTTACTTATTTCATTATTAAATAGTAATTAACAATAAATGAATAAGTGAATAAAAGTATTTCCAATTAAAAATTAAATAAGTAAAGAAACAAATAAGTAAACAAATGAATTGGTAAATAAATAAATATCTAAAAAATACAGAAATAAATTAAGTAGTGAACAAATAAATAAACAAATGAAAATAAAAATCAAATAAATAATTAAATAAGTAAACAAACAAACAAGCAAATAAATGAACAAGTAAATATTTAAAGAAAAAAACTCTTAAATAAAAATATAAACAAACAAATTAACAAACAAATAGATAAACAAATAAAGAAATAAAATAAAGAAATAAATAAACTAGGAGCAAATAAATAAAAAAATAGACTTAAAAAACGACGTTTATAAACAAACAAATAAACTGTTAAAAAAACAAATAAAAATACAAATTCATGAACTGATAAAAAATAAATAAATAAGTAAAGAAATAAATTAGTAAATAAATAAACAAATAAATATTTAAACAAAAGAATTGGTCAATGGATAAATAAATAAAAAAATTAACAAACAAATAATAATTGATGTAACTTTTGAATAAAGAAAACTTTTTTCGAGGATTATATTTAATCTTTTTCACTGACAAAGTTTCATAAACTTCAATATTTGAATGAAAAAGTTTGCCTACTGAATAATATATAAAAAAGAAAGTAATATCACTACCAAAATAAAAATCACCCTTCTTCAAATAGAACAATTTCAATTCTTTTATCTTGACCCTTTTTTTTTTGTTTTAACCCCCCTTTAACCCTAATTTCACCACAATTAAAAATGTAACAAAAATAATAATAAAATAATATTTAAAAAAATAAAAAAAATTTGTCATTTATAATAAAAATGAGATTTAAAGAAAATTATTCCCTAAATGTCAACTAAATTTTAATTTTTTATTAAAAATTTAATAAAAATCGAGTTCTACTCTATAAGAAAGTATTGCTGGATATTTTTCCCTTGTCAATAAACATAATACGTCGAGGTTCGTATTTAAAACTAATTATAATATTATTCATGAATAAAAGAAATAGTCCATGTAATTACTTATTTAAACTTGACGAACATACAAAAGCTATTTGACTAATTGTATCAATTAACCCATTACGTGACAGACATTCTAAACTTGTAAATTCGTTGATCTAATATGCACTGACCTCTCTTCTTATCCAAAAAGAAAAATAAGAGAAAGGAATCTAGACCAAATCTATTTTCAGATTACAAATTTCATTTTTGGAAATTCATTCAAAGAGTATTTGAAAAAGAAAATTGCTAAAAGTTTATTTTACGATAATAATAATAATAATTTAAATAAAACTCCTGTAGAATTAAAGTTCAAATTTATTTGTTAATTTCATCAACACTTTGCTTCCTCATAAATATTGTAAATATTGCATTTTTGTCATTCTTTATTACAAATCAGCACACAAAAAAAATTTTTTATTTATTTTTTCCATATTTATTATTTTATTTATTGAGGTTTTATTTTTTATTTACTATATTTTTTCTGAAAATTTTAATTTTAGTGTCAAATTATAGAATTACAATATATTCAATAATAATAATTAAAAAATTAAATGAAAGATCTGTAAATATTTATTGGCCTAATGGCTAACGTCATTAGACCAAATAATATTTACAGATCTTTTATTTAACTTATTACTATTATTATTTGATTTCAAAAAATTAATTTAATAATATTGTGATTTTTTAAAATTGAGAAATTTAAATTTTAAATTTTTTAAATATGAAAAAACATAGTTAAACTTGATGATTAAATTTCAAAAACTATTGATGTCATTTTTGAGTTCTTGAGGTTAGAGAAACGTGAATAAAAGTAAAAAAAATCGTCTGTGAAAATTTTCGGTAAGGAAATAAAAATTTTCGATCCTAAAAAGAATAAATTTTTTTCTGAGAAAAATAAAATTTGCTTTAACTCACCGCTTGAATTTGCGTGTATTCGTTGACATTCGTCTCGTAATTCCATTGTGCACCAACGTTAGCACTACATCTTTCAGTGCCAGTGAAATCTAATTTCGCCAAAATATTTCGAAAATCAGTTTCCCTCGTTGTAAATTGTCCTCGATCGGGACCATACCTGTCTTGATTAAATCTATTATCTTGATTGTATCTATCTTGATTGTACCTATCCTGATTATATCCGTCTGCATTATATCTGTCTTGATTATATCTTTCTTGGTTAGATCTGTCATTTTGTATGGGAGGTAGGTCTAGTTGACTCGATACACAGGAAATTAGAAACAATAGAAGAACTCCCATCTGAAATAGTGAGAAACAATTTCCATTTTTTATTTGATTGTAGACCATTTTTCCCAATTCAATATTGATATTATAAAAAATTTTTATTAATTAAAAATTATAATTATTTAAAATAAAAAGCATTTTATTCATTAGTATTAGTTTTTATCAACAATTATTTTTTATTAATAATAATTGACAATAATTATTTGTTATTAAGGGGATTTGAACCTTGATGACGTCACAGTTTGTGCAAAGCATTAGTTTTAAATCTGTGACGTCATCATGGTTCAAATGCCCTTAATTGATAATAATAATAATTTATTAAATTATTAATATTATTAATATTTATTAATATTATTAATTATTATTAACCGTACAAGTCCTCTTAAATAATTAAACAGTAATAATTTATATTACTAATAGTATATAATTTGCATCAATAATTATTTTCAATATTTCAATTTCAATTATCAATAATTGACAATAATAATAAATAATTATTCATAAATACTAATAATTAAAACCTGATTTAAATTCTGACTCGAAGTGATCGTTTATTTCATCGTTTTGTTACTAACAATTTACTTATTGTTTTGTCAATCATCAATAATAAATTTGTAATTATTTACAAAAGGGAATTTTGTAATTTTTTGTAAGCCCGTTTAAAAACGTAAGTATACAAATAAATAATTGTTATTAATAAATACCAATAATTTAATTATTGTTTTTTCAATTCTCAGTAGCTATGAACAATAAATAAATATTAACAATTATTATTTATCGAAGGGAATTTTTTTAACATTCTGTAAAAGAAATAAATAAATTATTATTAATGAACACTAATAATTTATTTATTGATTTTTCAATTACCAATGAACATCAATAATAAATAAATATTATTAACAATTAGTAGGCATTTGCGAAACAGAATTTCTAAGATTTTTTTTAGCTGATTTAAATATGTAAATAAATAAATAAACAAATTAATTAATTAATTAATCATTATAAGTAAATAAATTATTATTAATTAATAGTAATCGTTATTAATAAATAATAATTGTTATTAATTTATAGTAATCGTTATTAATAAATAATAATCGTTATTAATAAACACTACCAATTTACTTATTGCTTTTAACAATTATCAACAGCCATCAATGAGAAACAATTAATATTAACAGTAAATAAACAACTATTTTTAATAAATAATAATAATTCACTCATTCCGTTTTGTAATTAATCAAAATCAACGATTATCAACATCAATGTCAACATAACATAAAATTTATCTGTTTGACTTATGAAAATAAAAATTCCAGTAAAATTAATTAACTTTATTGATTGTAAATTTCAAAAATATATGTGCCTAAGTGTACTTTGTGGAATTGTGTTTATTTATTTCTTTGTGTATTACGTGATGGTAGAATAAAAGAAATATATGGATAAAAAAATGTAGGACGAACATAAAAAAAAGTTCATAGCCCTTTCGTTTTTTTATTCCGTATTTCGCAGCTGTTCAATTTAGGGTACGTGTCAATGCAATTTATTTTCCCAAATTATCCGTCATCCCCAGTATATGGACATAATAATTTCACGTTTCACCTTAACAAGGTAGGGGAGTTTTCCAAATACGTGTTTTCCTAATTTCGTTCCCCAGGTGACAATTTATTTTTATTTTACACACTTTATAATTTTAAAGTATTATTTAAAATTAATAAAACAAAAATTTTTTTAACAATCCTTTTACATTGCTATTGAAAGTAATATTATTGTTTTTGAATAATTATTACAAGGATTAATTAATATTATTCACTATTTTAAAAATAAAAATAGTATTTTTATTATTTTTTTATGTTTGCCTCTCTACCAACTCACATATCGAAAAGTTTTTATTTTTTTTTATTGTTTACAATTGTTTTATTTATTAGTTCCTACACTGAGAGAAAATTTTTTTTAATCAAAAAATAAGTATTTAGTATATTTAATTTACAATAAAAATATAAAAATTAAAAATACTTTATTAAAATAAATAGGTATAATAATAATTAATTTTATTCTATTCATAATTAACAAATATTTTACTGATTACCAAAAAAATTAATTAAATAAAGAAGTGTCTAAAAATAATTATTTATTATTTTGTTACCAAAGACTACAGATTATGAATTCATTATGCAATTATTTTTCCAAAATTAAGTTAACAATTCAATAATTAATTAAATAAGAAAGTGGCTATAAATAATTATTTATTATTTTATTACTAAAGACTCCAGATTGTGACTTTAATATAAAATTATTTTTCTAAAATTAAATTAACAACTCAAAATTATTTTATTTATTTATTTATTTATTTATAAATAAAATATTTATAAACATTATAAATAATAAAAATCCTTCTAAAATTTTTTTCTTTGATTCTTTAAAAGGAATTCTCTAAAAGTATTAAAAAGGAAAGAAGTTGAAGATTTTAATGATAATATTTTGATTCTTATAAAAGGGTAATGAACGAAATTAAACTTCGCGTGTGAGCATTAACAATAGTGCGAAGATCACGTGAATTGAACAATAGTCCTGCTAACCGAAAAAAGCCGCACATTCATTTGCTAATGTCTTTAGCCTCCAGAAAATAAATTGATGTGTTTCATTTTTTAGAAAGTAATTTTCATTTATTTCATTTTTTGTAATTATTAAATTTTTCTACCACTCGATAAAAATATTTACTTTATCGTTTATATAAAAACAATTTTTATTATTGTAAATAACACAGAAGACGAATTTACTTATTATTATAGTAATAAAATTTTTTTTACTATCATTCGTTCTTTTATTAAGTTATTTCAATTATATTGTTATATTAATTAAATATTTCTATTGTAATAAAATTTGTTTTCTAGAGCAGCAGTCTTTTTGAATAATTATAATTTATTAAGTTACTAAGTTATTATTTTAATTATGTTATGTTGTTATTTTATTTTTTTTTATTTATTATTTTTATTTTCTATTTATTTAATTTCTTATTTTAATTATTTTATGAATTATTATATTATTAATTTAACATTTAAATTCTAATAAAATTTGTCCTTTTCTGGAGCAGCGATAAAAATATTGTTACCATTAAAAAAAATGTGAAATGAAAAATAAAATATTGGTCATTGAGAATTTTATCCAGAAATTCGAAAAATAAATGTAATTAGTCAATCATAGAAGAACAATAAGAGGATGATATTTATGATTTATATGTTAGTATGCATTATGAATAGAAAAATTACAAAAGCAAGTTTACACGGCATAAAGCGAATATGTCATGTAGGAAATGAACATTCACTTTTGCGTCCTCATTCAACAATTTTGATATCAATTACATTGGTATCTCTCTCAGTGATTTCATGCGGTGTGAGAATTTATGAAAAAAAAAATTTCATCTTTACCCACTTATTTATTCTCCTGATTAATAATTACATAATAAGCCGAGAACCTTAAAAATATTTTACAAAAAGAAAAAAAAATTTATATATCACATAATCATTTTTTAATATATTATATTTTCCTTCTTATATCATATATATTGAAAGAAAAACAAAACAAAAAAAAACGGGGTCAACATCTTCTGTTCAATTATAATAATTCTATTTGTTATACTTTTTTTCTAGATTAAAGCGTTACAATTTTTTCTTTTACTTCAAACACGGTTCAAGGTGAAATCCTTCGATACAAAGCGTGCTCTGAACTCGATAATTATTTGAAAATTTCTTCGAAGGAAACAAGGAAAATATATTAAAAATAGAAAAAATATTTAAAAAAAAATATTAACAATAAAATAAAAAAAAATAAAATAAAAAAAATATTTAAAGTTTTAAAAATGTTGACAATAAAAAATAAATTTAAAAGAAACTGAAAACGTTGCTCGAAGAAAAAAAATCGTGAACTTTATTTATTTCCTCTTTTCTTCTCAAAGAAGAAGGTCAAAAATATGGTTTATGACTGAAAGTAAAGATTTTATTAAAAAACATTTTAATTTTTCGAAATCTTTTGCATTTTTTCTTATTGTAAAATGTGCTTTATGATTTTTTTGTAAAATTATAATATTTACACTTTAGAGCTACTAATGCGACTAATTAGAAATTTATTTATTTATTTTTTTTTTTAGAAATTTACCTATAAAAATAAACATTTCCACCTCATAATGAATGCAATCATAAATAGAAATTAAACATTGAATACTTGTAAATAATAGTAATTTTTCAAACTAGTTTTCATTGTCTTTATGGAAATAATATAGTCGACAACGCGTTAAAATTATAATTCCAATGTTCCACATAAATATATGGGTAAAAAAAACCACATTCATAATAATAACTATTAAAACGCCATATGAATACATCAAATTTTAAACAGACAAAACAAATTGTAAAAAATAAAAATACATCTCCAGGAATAAGTGAATGAAAATAGAAAAATTATCTCATCAGGAAAATATATTTTAGAAGTGAAAATAGATGACAAAAAAAAAATTAGACAAATAAATAAACAAATAAATAAAATAAATGAAATAAATAAGAAATAATATGTAAAAAATAAATAATGAACTATAAATAATGAGTGAAAAATAAATATTATGCAAAAAAGAAGTAATGAACTCGGTATAAAATGAATAAATATTAAATAATAAACGATGGACAATAATCAAGTAATACTTAAATAAATAAAATTTAATGTACTTGCAAAATTCTAAATATGCGAAATTGTTAATTACGCGAGAAATTAATTCAATTGCTTTATAAAAGCGGTTAATGTGATTTGTAGCGAATTTTTCATGGTTACGAGGTTAAAATAGTTTAAATGGGAGAAAAAAGAAGTTAAAATATATATCGTGCACTCTTGATGCTTGAGTGAATTCAGTCATATCAAAGAACGTCAACGGTATTGCCTATCGCGTGTTTCTAAGCCTTTTTACAATGCTTCCTTCAAGGCTAATTTCGTATTTTTCGATAGATTCTAATGCCAATTGATCGCCAATTATTAATGACACAAAAAGAAAACGTAGCAAAAAAGTGATTTTAATTTACTCTCCTAATGTGTTCAATATTAATTAGTTCATAGCGTTGAATATAATTTCTTAATTAAAGCGTTATAATTTTAATTTATAGCAACAAATTAATTGGTAATATTTATTTTAGACACATGCGCAACAAATTGATAAAACTTTTGTTAAAAATAAATAAATAAAAATTAAAAGAAACTTAATTAATTAATATTAATTAATTGATAAATAAATAATTAAATAAAATAATAAATAAATAATTATCGATAAAGAATTTGTATTTTCTATTTAATAAATATTTATTTGCCTCAAATAAATTTAACTTAGTTTAAACGAATTTTATTTGTTTTCGATAAATTTTATTTGTTTTCAATGAATTTTATTAGTTTCAAATAAATTTTATTTCTTTTTAATAAATATTATCTGTTTCCAATAAATATTATTCTTTTCCAATGAATTTTATTTGTTTTAAATAATTTTTTTTGTTTCCAACGAACTTTATTTGTTACGAATAAACTTTATTTAGGAAATTAAATCGTTTTTAATAAATTTCATTTGTTTCAAATAATTTTTATTTGTTTTCAATAAATACTATTCGTCTTCAATGAATTTTACTGATTTTAAATTAATTTTCTTTGCTTCAAATAAATTTTATCCATTTTAAATGATAATTATTTGTTTAAAACAAATTTTATTTATCTGAAATAAATTTTTATTTCTTTCATAAAAATTTTTATTAAATCGAATAAATATTTTTATTTACAATGAAATTTATTTGTTTTGAATAATTTTTATTTTTTTCCAACGAACTTTATTTGTTACGAATAAATTTAATTTATAAAGTTATAGATTGTTTTCAATGAATTTTATTGGTTTAAAATAAATTTTATTTTCGTTCAATAAATATTACTTGTTTTTAATAAATTCTATTTGTTTCAAATAATTTTAATTTGTTTTCAATAAATACTATTTGCCTTCAATAAATTTTACTTGTTTAAAGTGAATTTTCCTTGCTTCAAATATATTTTATTCGTATTTAATGAAAATTATTTGTTTATCTAAAATAAATTTCATTTCTTTCATATAAATTTTTATTCAATCGAATAAATGTTTTTTATTTACAAAGATGAAATTTATTTAATTCAAATAAATTTTAATTTAAACTTTATTTGTTAAAACTTAAAAATAAATTTTATTTGTTTCCAACGAACTTTTTTGTTACGAATAAGCTTTATTTAGGAAATTAAATTGTTTTTAATAAATTTTATTTGTTTCAAATCAATTTTATTTACTTTTAATAAATATTATTTGTTTTCAATGAATTATATTCTCTCTAAATTTGAATTAGGAAAAATGTTTACTAATTTTGAAATAGTGACTGACTTTTTGCTTTTGAATTAGTAAATTTTACTATTAAATTAGTAAAAGTGACTATTTATTAGTGTAATTTACTAATTCGAAAGCAAAAAATCAGTCAATAATTCAAATTACACTGAGAAAACATTTTTAAATCAAACATATTTTTTTTTGTTATTCAGTCAAAAAAAATTATTTTTGAATTAAACATAATAATTTTTATTCAACACATAACAAGCTTGACTTAGTAAAAAAAAAGTGTAATTCATAAAGGAATATGTTTAATTCAAACATATTTTTTGAGTTGCCTACTTATGTTGGAAATAAAAAAAATTTTTTTCAATCTTTTTTTGTTAAATTAAATTTTATTTGTTTCCAATAAACTTTGTTTGGTACAAAAAATTGTATTTGTTTCAAATAAATTTTATTTCTTTTCAATAAACTTTATTTGTTACAAATAAATTTTACTTTTTACAGATAAATTACAAATATATTTTATTTGTTACAAATATATTTTATTTGTTACAAATGTATTTTATTTGTTACAAATAAACATTATATGTTTCTAATAAACTTTATTTATTTGGAGTAAAGTTTATTTGTTTTTAATAAACTTTTTTAGGTACAAATAAAATTTATTCAGTTGAAATAAATTTTAAATGGTTCAAAACTAAAATTTTATTCACGCCAAAAAAATTTTTAATTTAAACCAAATAAATTCGTTAGTAAATATATACTTTTATCTAAGACAAATAAATTCTTCTTTTTTAAAATAAAACATTTCTTTGGAAGTTCGAAAACAAAAAAAAAAATTAAGAAAAACCTAAAGAAACCTAAATTCGAAAATTGTAAAGAATCAATAAATAAAATTGAATTAAAAATTCCTAATTCTAGAAAAGTGTTTATAAATTCGATTTAGTCTTTAACACCACTCTCTAAATTTGAATTAGTAAAAATGTTTACTAATTTGAATTAGTGACTGACTTTTTACTTTTGAATTAGTAAATTTTACTAATAAATAGTAATTTCTACTAATTTATTAGTAAAATTTGGTAATTCGAAAGCAAAAAGTCAGTCATTAATTTAAATTAGTAAACATTTTTACTAATTCAAATTTAGAGAGCAATTGAATTTTTTAATACCAAAATTTACCAAAAGTGATAAAAATACCAAAAAAATAAGAATAATACCAAACGTTACCAAAAAAAAAATATTCAAATTTGCAATTTACCGGACGAAAAGTATAATTTTATTTAAATATAAGAAAAAATACAATCCATACTCCCTCGGGATTGACACTCCACTTTATCCAAAATACAAAACCACAAAATACACTTCACCCTATTTTTCATACAATTATCATTTTATTCCAGGAAAAAAGCACAAAAAATTCTTATCACTCCGAGCACTCAATGCAAAACTTACAAATTGTCTTCGAGGATCGAGAACGACCACGAAGACCGGCCGGTGGAGCACCTCCATGAGCACCGCAACCACCCTTTCGAAACAAGGGAAAACAATGAAATGACTATATATATCCCTAAAGTTAACACCTGCCCTAAAAAAAAATACTAAAATCCAACCAAAAACAGAAAATCGAACAATACTAAAAGAAAAATTCCAATTTTCGACAATAATTGTATAATCGATAAATTCCCGCCTATATTCACCACTTGAACGCGCTTAGCTCTTTGGAATTGTACTAAAAGCTTCATAGGTCAGTACGTATACATTTATCCCTATGCTCGCAGAGTGTCGAACGACACAAGAGGTCATCCATAGAAAGAAAGACAGAGAGTGGGGAGACACCTGAGTTGTCGTTTCTAGACAATGTTATAATACAACACGAGGGGGAGTAAATAGTAGGAGGAGGACCGTGAGGTAGCAAAAGCAGAAGAAGAAGACGAAGAGAAAAAAAAAGGGGAGCGCCATATTATAAGCGAGACAAGGAGGTGAGGCCGCGAGGTGGCCTCCGCTTGCAACACCCGTAACACTAGATTCCATATGGTTATTACATTTATTCCCACGTTGACAGTGGAACTTGACGGTTTTTCAATGAGACCCATTGTTGAGTTTTGCCGCACGCGTCTATACTTTATTCCATGACTAACCTTCGGTAATTTAGACTCGGCGGCGCACTCGTCTCATATTCGCTACTTTGCACATGAAACGAACGCGATTAAATGGAAATTTTAATATGGAATGATTAATTAAAATTTGTGTTTATTTTTGCCACATTTTTAGCCAGAGTTGCAAGTAATTTATTATACGAGACGATTGCGAAAGAAAAAAAATTATTTACAATATTTTTTGATTTGATAATAAATAAGAAAAGAAAAATTAATGTAATGTTCGATTAATGTAACATTTTTATACCCCCTCCCTCCTCTAATATGGTAACGTAGTTTATGGATGGCTCCTTCGAATAATAGAAGGAAGAATAATATTTCCAGCACGTTTACAGTACAAATATTTTCTTTGAAAACTTACGAAAAATTTACATATCTACTAAATTAATTAAAACAATGGGGGCTTGAAACAGGTCAAACAAAAAATACTGCCTTACGAAATTGAAATTAAATATTACCACTATATTTGGTGACAATTATATCATTATAATGTTATCTATATTGCAAAAAAAATAAAAAGAAAAATAATTATTTGTTGAATTAATTATATTCCGATATATTTATTTTCTTTCTTATATTAATTTTACTTGCCTGTGGTCCCTGTAGAATTTTGACTAATACAAGCTGAGAATGGCATATATTTAAATGTGAAAATTAAAAAATAATTTTTGAAAATGTAAAAAAGAAATCTTGCACAAATAATTAATTTAATTTGTGACATTGCAAAATTGTTGGACAGCCGGGTTGACAAAAAAATTTAATTTTGTTTTTCCCTGACTTTTTCCTGATTTCCAAACAAAATTTTTATTTTTTCCCTACTCAAAAAAAAAAAATCTAATTACATTTCTTTACGCATTCCTTTAATTGGAGAAAATTATTCGAAAACATCAATAATTTCATTTTTAAATAAATATTTAATCATTATTATTTTTCCATATGAATTAAGATTTTCAAAACTATTTTCATCATTTCAATTCAATAATTATTTTCTAGAATATTGAATTGAAATTCTTCTTTAAATAAATTATTTTTGATAATTTATGAAAAAGTTCATTGAGAATTTTCAAATCCATTTGCTTACAATTCAATTTTACGAAATTTCGATTATTCAGAAATTCTTCAATTAGATATATATTAGAAAATAAAAACTTCAAATAATTTCAAAAAAAAAAAAAATTCAATTAAACTTTTTCAAAAAAAATAATTCTACAGAATTGTCAGTTAAAAGTATGAAAAAATCAAATTTTCAAAAATTTTAATTTAAAATCTTTTCAAAATTCAATTAATTATTTCTAAAAATTCACGCTATAATGCTTTTAATATTAAATTATAATACAAAACTTTAACTAAATTCAATTTTTAAATCAATTTTTATTTGCAAATTCTGCAAGAATTCAATTATTGAAATGCAAAAATAAATAATTTATTAAATAATTGAATGTTTTTTAAAATTTAATTCTTATGAAGAATCAACAAATTTTGAAATAATTGAATTCTTTCAAAAAATTAAAACTTTTAAGAATAATTGCAAGTTTCGAAGAATTCAATTAGAATTGTAATAAAAATAATTGAAATTGTGCAAAGAGTTTTATTATGATTATATGAAAATAATTTAATTCCTAAAAAGAATTTTATTGTTTATGAAAATAATTGAATTCATGTAAAAAATATGTAAATATCTGAATTCTTGTGAAACTTTTAATATTTATAAAAATAATTATCTATGTTTTTCTCGTAGAATTTTATCAAAATTATTTTTAAAAAAATTAATTTTTGTTTGAAAGTTTTATTAAAATAGTAGATATTGAAAATCATTGAATTGAGGACAATTTTTGAAAATAATTAAAATTTTACTAATAATTTTAATGAAATTAAATTGAAAATAATTAAAATTTCGGAGAATTTTATTATTTATAAAAATAATTGAAAATTTGACAAGAATTTAAAAAAAAAATTTTTAAACATAATTGAATTTCTGTAATTAGTAAATAATTTATTGAATAATTGAATGTTTTTCAGAATTGAATTCTCATAAAGAATTTTATTAACAAATTTGTAAAAAAAATGAATTCTTTCGACGAATATTAATAAAATTGTTAAGAAAAATTATATTTTTCAAGGAATTCAATTAAAATTGTATTAAAAATAATTGAAATTCTGCGATGAGTTTTATTATTTATGAAAATAATTAAATGCCTGTAAAAAATGTCATTATTTATGAAAATAATTGAATTATTGCTAAGAGAACTAACTTCCAGAAAACAAAATTGTATTCTTTCTCTTTCGTCCAACAACTTTAGTTTAGTAATTAAAGTTTTATTTTTAATTGAATTTAATTGTGAATAATATAATCGTGAATTTCAGGACTTTTGATGAAATTTGAAATTGTTTCTTTATTAATTCAGATGAGATAAAATTTGTCTCCACTCTTTGGTAAAAAATTTAAATTTATTAAAAATTATTAAAAATTCAAAAAACCGAATTTTCTAAAATTCAAAAATTTTTCTTCTCTTTTATAGCATTTAGCTTCACTATTTTTGTGCTCTTCAAAAACACTTTACTTATTTAATAGTCTCCACTTATTAGTAAAAAATTCTAATTTATTAAAAATTATCAAAAATTCAAAAAACCGAATTTTTTAAAATTCAAAAATTTTCCTTCTCTTTTATAGCATTTAGCTTCACTATTTTTGTGCTCTTCAAAAACACTTCACTTATTTAATAGTCTCCACCCATTGGTAAAAAATTTAAATTTATTAAAAATTATCAAAAATTCAAAAAACCGAATTTTTTAAAATTCAAAAATTTTCCTTCTCTTTTATAGCATTTAGCTTCACTATTTTTGTGCTCTTCAAAAACACTTCACTTATTTAATAGTCTCCACCCATTGGTAAAAAATTCTAATTTATTAAAAATTACCAAAAATTCAAAAAAACGGATTTTTTAAAATTCAACATTTTCTCTTCTGCTTTATTGCATTTAGCTCCACTATTTTTGTGCTCTTCAAAAATACTTTACTTATTTAATAGTCTCCACCCTTTGGTAAGAAATTTAAATTTATACAAAATTATCAAAAATTCAAAAAACCGAATTTCTTAAAATTCAACATTTTCTCTTTTCTTTTATGGCATTTAGCTCCACTATTTTTGGGCTCTTAAAAAACACTTTACTTATTTACGCAGGGTGTCTAACAAGGATCGAGAAAATAATTCTCTGACTTTTTCCCTGAATTTTTACTAATTTTATTTCTGTTTTCTTGGTACAAAAGTATGGTAACTGACATATTTAACAATAAATTAATATCTAATGATAGAAAGAAACGATAATAAAAATCTTCTAAGATTTGTTAGATTAAAAAAAAATTTTCATTCACAAATATTTTAATTTTTGTATAAATTTTTAGAAATTTTCCTGACTTTTCCCTGACCGTTAGACACTTTTTCACATAAAAAAAAACATTTCTAATTCATAATTTTGTATAGCCAATAAATTTTACGAGAATATAAAAAAAAGGATAATGTACAATAAAAATTTCTTGGAGGAAGTTACAAAAAATCGTCGGTTTTATAAATCAGACTTCTGCCCGACTTTTCGGTACAATCATTTTTTTAATCATAATTAACTAATTTAAAAATTTACCTAACTTTTTAATTAGTTCATTTTTTTTTGCTCCCGCCCAGACATATATATCTCCTGGCTATCCAAGAAATCTGCAGTGATCGTGTAAAAAAAAAACACAATTACCATACACTTCTATAAAAGAGTCTTGACCCAATTATTTCACGGGCACTTCTCATTCAAAATCTCTTTTGTATGCACGAGTATCTATCTAAATTTAATAAAAACCTGAAATCATCCCCACATTAAGTGACTTTTAATTTCTTTACTACACATATATATGCTCTCAACTATAATACTCAATGACACCTTCATCTCAAGGATAAATCACTTTTAATCATTTCTTAACGCCACACGTATTATACGCACCTTCCTGCGATATTGACCTGTCTGACACCGAAAATTACTTTGTATTACTATTACTTCACGTATTCTGTAACATACGTGACTATGAAATTTCCCATTTTTTTCGGTTTCTATAAAATTGGTAAACGAAAAATTTCAATGACAATGGTAAAATATAAATTTGTTAAAAAAAAAATAAATAAATAAATAACTTGCATGTTTATAAAATATCTTTTTCCTGTTTTTTAAAAATATTTTCCTGCAGTTTATCTACTAATATGTATAGTTCCATCTTCGAAATAAAATAAGTATATGTTAATTATTATTTCGTTTTTTTTCTTGTATCTTTGTTTTGGGAAACAAAAAGACTTGAATACAAATGCGTATCTCCTTGGGAGTTTTCTTCTTCCTTTTTTACCATTAATACTTTCCTTTAACACAACTTGGCATTGCAGCTTGTGCATTAATTAATAATTTCGTAAACGAATGACAAATTATTTTCCACCATAAATTAAAATTTAATTAAATTAAATAAAAAAAATTAAAAATAGAAAATTTAATTAATTAAATAATTTTTAAATTTATATTACTATCATTAGAATTTTTGTTCCGAAAAGCATAAACTATTTGATCGAATGTTTTAATATTACAATTATTATAATTATAATTATTATTATTAATCATTAAATTAAAATTATTCTATTCGAAAAGAATAAACTATTTGATCGAATGGATTATCAATTTATTATTATAATTATTATAATTACTATTATTAGATATTTAATTAAAATCATTCTATTTGTTCAAAAATTACTATTTTGCCTAATCATAGAGGAAGGAATTTTTGGAGGAAAATTTCCAATAAAAAAATAAATAAATTATAAATAAAATGGCAAATATCTTCGAGGGTAATGTGTTTCATAAAATAATCTTTGTCCTTAATTACAGAGACATGCTTCTTCCCTGTAAGAAACTAATTACCGCATTTCATTGATAGAAAGGATTTTCATTGTTTACGTAATAATAATTCACACTCTAGAATGCAGTGTT